GTATGCCACTGGATGCAGGTTATCTGTCAGCAACTTTTCAGGCTGGAATGACCTGTCTGAGGTCAGAGGTAGGCAGGCAGTAGGACCTGTCTGCTGCCACTGCTTCTCCCCACCACTGCAAAGGGAAAGCTCTCGTAACTTCCTCTTCTTCCCACTGTGGCATGGGAGAAGCTCCCTCTGCCAAGTGCTTCTAAAGGCCCCAGACTGCTAAAGCCAGATCCGATAGCTCTGTGGGCTGTAGGCTGCTGATCTACAGAGGCTGTGGAGTTTCTATCACTCGGAGTTTTTAAGCACAGGTTGGAAAAACACTCGCGCTGGATTTTTTTAAAGAATTATGACCTTGCCTTGAGCAGGGTGTTGGATTAGATGATCTCTTGAATTCTGTTCCAGCCCTAGTTTTCTGTGTCTTTTTGTGAATCTGTTGAAGCATGTTTTTCGAAGTTTGTATTCATCTTGGGAGTTTCAATAGCCAACTAATCAATATCTTTTTGTGAATTACCATTTGGATGCACTTATGCCACAGACACTCCAAGCCTGATTCTGGGAACAGCTCAGGCTCTATGTTCCAAGTTATAATAAAACATTTTATGTTATACAAATGATACATGATATCTTTCTTTGTAACCATTCAGAAACAAAGGTTAAATGTAGTGGTTGAATCTGTTTCTCACTAAATTTCCATCGATTCCAATGCAAGCAAAATCAGAAATGTTGCTAACTAATTATGATTTTCAAGAAAGAAAAAAAAACCTGTTACTTTATTTCCTCTGAAGATCTTCCCATATCTGGCAATGACGATCTTTCCTGTACAGTTAATTCCCAGCTCACGTTCCAGTTTAAAAAAGTCTTCCGTGCGACCATAATTCACATAGACCAGATCTGCCTGTCCAGGGCAGAAAGACAGCTACAATCTTGCAATTTAACTTTATTTAGTAAAAATCTGTTAGGCAGTAGGTTTAGTCTTTGCATTTATACACTCCTAATTCTGCCCCTAATACAACCTATGGCAAAACCCTCCCATATTCTGCCCCTAATACAACCTATGGCAAAACCCTCCCAAAGTATTTTACAGAAAAGCCTATGTCATTGCTGGAATTTTCCTATGCAATCCAAAGTTTAGAAGCATCCTTACTATGATGTTGAAAAATACAGTACTAGATTGTTGCAAAGTATCTGTATACTTCTCATGGCCATGAGTAAAGCAGCCCCATTCCTAATACGCCACAGTACAGTTGACAGACTCTCTCTTATATTATTTTGTCCCTATACATGATATGGCATATGTGGAGAATGCTGGCTGGGATAATCTATTATAGAAGAGTCAAGAGAGGGAATTAGCCTTATTAATCTGAAGTTACTAACTCTCTGAATGAGTTAGTATAGAAGAATCAATCAGATAGACTTTTGGGACTAAGAGTTTTTAGGACATGAATATATTTCAGATACTGCTATTTTCATTTAGATAAAGGCATAATGGCAGGGCACTTGAGGCATCTCATGGCAGCTCCAGAGTTGTAAATTCAAGAACTGTTGTGGATTCATGTTAAAGGCCACAGCCAGTCAACTCCATTATTAGAAGCAGGGATCCAGAGATGGCTAGACTCAGATGTTAGCCACATTGCTTCCCTGTGTGCTGGTGGCTGTGGAAGCTGATACATTTTAATCGTTGTAGACGTTTAGGCACAGGCAGATAATGGGCACTTCTACACGAGATGCTAACTGTGCAGTAGCCTAATAACACTGCTCAGTAGTGTGCCAGTCAAAAAGCATGCTAATACACTACTGCACAGTGTTATTGGGCTACTGCACAGTAAGCATCACAAAAAACCATGCTCCAGTGCTACTGCATAGTAACTGTAGTTACTGCTCATTTAGTTAGTACATCATGAGGCAAGTACTAAACCAAATGCGTATTAATGAACATGTAGACTTGCCCAATGGATGCTTTAGGAAGATTTTTAGGGTCCTGTCAAGACTTATTTGGTTCTTTTCCATGTGGAAATCTATCACGCAGGTGTATAGGGAACACACCTATATATATCTGAAGTATATCTAGCACAGATATACACCAGAAGTATATCTAGCATTTTTCATGAAGACAAAACCCCTTGTATATTATAAATCTGATTCATACAGCCTTAGGGCATTTTTAATGGGAATTTTTAGCTTCAGTGGGTGTATCTACACATGAGCAATTTACATGCTAGTAAACTACTCACAAGTAATTTCTCCCAGGCAGGTGTCTACACGTGCAGGGAAGTGGAAGTAGATTTGCTACTAATAGCAGCAAACTGCTCCCACTTTCTGGGGCCCTGCAATGGGCCCCTGCCAACATCAGGAAGAGCTCTAGGCTCCCGCTGGGTGCTAGCCCAGGGGCTGGTAGGGAGCACCAGGCCAGGAGACAGCTGTGTCTTGGGCAGGGCTGGGACACTGCACCCTGCCCCTGTCTGCTGCAGCAGTAGGCACTATGTCCTCCTGCCCCAGCAGCAGGGAGCTCCTGGCCCCAGCTTCCCAGCTCCATAGGGGATTGGGTCCTGCTCCGCATGTGGCCAGGGGCTGGGACCTGCCCCTCCCCTACATGTCTTTCCAAGCCCCATGCCTTGATCACCCAATGCCCCTGGCTGGGACAGTTCCCAGCCCCTGCTCCTTCGCAGGGCAGGGGCTGGAGAGCGTGTTCCCTGCTCGGCTCCGTGATTGTGAAGCTGGGCAGGGAACAGATTCCCCAGCCTGTTCCCCACCCAGCTCTGTGTTCGCAGAGTTGAGGGGGAATAGTTTCCCCAGCCCCCACCAGCAGGGAGCAGCCCCCAGCAACATCTTCATGGTGGTGGGGCCAGCACAAGGAGATAAGGATCTCCCATACTCCTGCTCCCAGACCTCTGCTCCGAAATTGTGATTTCGGAGCAGGGAATGTGGAGCTCCCTGGTGCCATGCCTGAGACATAGACCTTGCCTGAGACATAGTCCTTGCCTGAGTTCTGGAGGCAGAGCCCACCCTGGCAGCAGGCAGCTCCTGGGGGCAGGGAGCAATCTCCTGCCTCCTGGTGGCTGGCTGGCTTGGGGATGATTTGCTCCTGATCAGGTGTCTACATAAATGCTACTGCACAGTAAGTAATCACAAGTAAATTTGCTATTTGCATTTGCAGGTAGCAAATTTACTTGTGATTAGCAAGGTTAACTGTGCAGTAATCCTGTACACATGTAGACACACACACTTACTGCGTAGTAAACTACACTACTACACAGCAAAGCATCTTGTGTATACTCTTGCTATCACTGTCTCTATATCATATGAGAATTCAATATTTACCCCACCTAATTGAGATCACTGCAAAAATGTTTCAAGTCAAGAGGCGTACAGCATCGTAACAATTTTCCAAAACTTAATTTAATCTATCAAGGCTCTGTAAGGAATTGTGTTCTTACCTCTGGTGTTCCTTGTGCTGAAAAAGCATTGTATGGTGGCAGCATACCAGTAACGTTTTCATATCCCTGAGGGGGTGGCTCAAACAATGATGTATTGACAATCTACCAAAAATCCAAATTGAGTACAAGTTAATTTAGTAGAAATTTTAGTCAAATTCTTCCTTGGGCAACCTAGCTGAAGTTTGCACAGTAAGTTTAGTTATTTAAAACTGTGTACTGTTTTAGACAAATACCAGTATTTTACATTTAATACACAAAAGCTCATATATAACTCATAAACTTGACCTCAAATAGAGGCTTAGTTAATTTTATGCATAATTTTATGCATTTTGTTCATACATATCAGTCCAGGGACTTTTTGGTAATTTTGTAGTTTTTCCAACTTTTTCCTTTACTTATTCAGTAGTATTTAAGTACTATTGTTTTAATTCCCATTCATGTTATTTATATGTTCTTAGGTCCAATCCTACTCTTATTCATGTAATCACAAAGGTAGTTAGGCATGCTACTCTGAAGTCAGGCTAAAGGTAGGGCAGTGTGACACCTTAAAGACTAACTCGTTAGAGACTAATTGGTTCAGAGAGGCTTGAGCTTTTGTAAGCAACAACTTACTTCATCAGATGTTAGGAACAACTATTCATATAATGAAATACTATTCAGTACAAGTAAAGGTGGAAGGACTGGATTTTTCAGCAGGGTTTTGTAAAATGAAAAGAATAACTGATAACACGATCGGTTCTGCAAAGTTTTATTGTACTAGTACTTTTTAGAAAGGGAAGGACAAAAATCATGCATCAATTTTTCTGAAATTTCTGCTTTATTTTTTTTACAGGCTCCATCTGGTAGAAAACTGGCGTATGTATGTTTACACATACACTCTCTGTCTCTCATGTACATGCATATAAAAACTGAGAGGTCAATTATATAAGAGATCAAGAATGCTAAGATTATGGTTGCATATGCCGATTTAATTCAGCCTCTTTGGTTTGTGCTTTGTAATAATGTGCATTCATGGCACTTTAAGATCACTGCACTGAAAAAAAACAACCCAGACCATCATGAGATCAACATCCTGACCCCCAGGGGTCATCAGTAGGGCTGGAACCTTTATACCTAAGTGTAAACCACAGACTGTTACACGCAGGACACATCTACACATAGCCATAGTGATGTACAATGGCAATGTAGCTCGGTGCTATGGCAAGGTAGCATCGGCGGGCACAAACTGTGATGCTGATGCTACATCGCCCTAGTGACTAGCTACCTGGCTGTAGTGCATCGTTACATCAACGCAGCTGCTCAAAATAACCGTGCACTCAGCACGGTTAGGTGCTTAGGTGTTACAGTTTGCGGTTTACACTATGGCTGTTACTGCACTGTCATTTAGTATTTCCTAAAGCAAGTATTTCCTAAAGCAAGTATTAAATAACAACTGCGCTATGGGGGCACTGTAGGCATGCCCATGGTGAAGTGTGTGACAGCAAAACTAGGTGGTCATCCTCTGTGCAGACCAGCACTGGGCTGGGGCTGAGGAGGGTGGAATAATTGCCAGCGAGTTTCATAGATATTTGCTGCTAGCAGAGGACTCGCTGATCTTGGTTCTGTGTCAGGTTCAGAAAGGGAGATCAAGCAAAGACTCCTCTTCCCATTTCCCTTAAACTTGACCTTCTGCCCCTCTCCCTCCATACTAACCCCTTCCTAGGCCCTGTTCCCCTTTCTCCCCTATTAACCTCTTCCTAGGCCCATGTATAAATGCCCTCTGGTTTTATGCCAAACTTGGCCTCTTTGCCACCAGCTCCTTCTCCTGTTCCACTAGTTTCCAGTTCCTGTCTCCCCAGGTCCTTGTTGGATTTCAGTGTCTTATCCATCGGCTAGTTGCTTCCAGCTCATTTTCCAGTCTCCTTATGCAGCCAATGCTCCTCCCCCCATGACCCCAGCCATAGTCTTCAATACGTTGTATGCTCTTTGTTCCAATCCACTCCCCATGCCTCTCTCTGCACCCAAGTTTTGTTCCCTATGACTTCATTTCAGGCAGATTTCTCCTTCTCTTTTTGGATGTCAGCAGTGGAAGCACTGAAAAAACAGATATGAGAGTCTCTGCACTGGTGCCCAACTGCAAAATCATTTGTAAGGAGTAGTTTACAACATGTGCTGACACCATCCACCTGCAGACAGTTCTTAGATTGTGAAACAAGATAGTGGTGTGAATACAGATGGGCCCTTTCTCTTCAAAGAGTTAATGATATATAATCATAGTTAGATCACCTCATTCCCCAGGTCATCAATAATTGAGATGTAGTTGGGCTTTGTTTCATTTGGGTAGGAAAGGAGTACATCATAATGAACCAGCTCTGCTGAATCCAGCCCAAATGATTTCCATTGGTCTTGAATTTGCTTGGCAAGATGGAAATTTTGTTCTGTTCCTGCGAGATGAGGAAGCTTTGTAAAAGAGCTAAAACAAAACAGAAAGTCACGGATAAGCGATACATTCAGACAGGACCAGAACAGTGGATGTGAATTTTCACATCTTCAGAACATGTGCACACAGTACATTGCTACAGATTACATTCATTAGATATAAATTTGACCTACCTAATAAAATAAATTATCACAGAATGAATCAGGATAAGGTACAAAATGTAAGAATGAAGGAACTTTCCAAAATCCTAAAACAAATCACAGCAGCTTTTCACCCAAACTGTCAAAGCACTGATGTGGATATGGGAGCACTAATCAGTTTTAAGGAAATTCAGGAAAAGAACCTGAGCTGAATACCTGAGTTGAACATGTTTGGTTACATTTTTTTAAGGCAACTATTTGCAAGGATCATCAATTCATTTCTGATGAACACATGACAGGCGTAAGAGATCCTGATGAGTCTTCTGCTCATATAATCTGAAGAAACAACACAGGTGTGTTGGGAAAAAGGAAGAATATGTAAAGTTGTTAATATATAATGAAATTCCCCAAATTACATGGTGATGGTTGTGGTATATCCTAGGGATAAACTGTGATGACAAGGTATAGTTAAAATAATTAATTCAAACTACCTGCTTTTTTAAATAAAAGGATAATATGACTGCTGTTAACAATATTTAAATACAGAAAACAAAACAAAATTAAGGTAATTGTGATATAAGCATTCCAACCTGAAGCCAGAATCTATTAACATCAACCACCTCAGGCTAATGCATTAGTAAATAGTAAATATAGAGAAAACATGGTCTGAAGTTAGTCTACAAAGAGCACCTTTACTCTGTGTTCGCTAGAAGCTGTTTTAGGAGCGGTGAAGGAGGGAGGAAGAGTGAGAGGGACTGTATATTTTCCTGCTTCCATCTTCCTTCTTAACAATCAAGTATTGCTCACTACTTACTTGTGATTGGGCTTGCTGGACTAATGGTTTGCTACTAAATGACCTGTCTTATACACCAGAGAGAAGATATAAATCTGCAAACTAGCGACTGTATACTTGACTCTGAATAATCCATCATTATTTGTGATTAATTAAGTACTGACAGTATGCTTAGCAATGCAGGGGGCATACATTCAGGTAATATGATGTTAAGTGATTCAGAAATGCTGTCTGTAAAATAAACTGAAGTAAAAACACAGGCTATTTGTTCCATTTGTTTGTAAAAGACAAACCCTTACTACCCTTCCTGAAAGGCCATGGCACAAAGGAAGAAATGCTCTGACCTCAACAACTCGCTGTCTGATTGTGGGGTGGAAAACCAAAATAAACAATCAGTAAAAACATAAACAGTTAAACAGATTAAGTTCTTATATACTAATAATATATATTCAAGTCCAAAATAATTTTAAAACATTATTTCCATGAACATAAGTCCTCAAGCCTACATTAAATGGAGTTTTTCAACAGTAACACCAGATAAAAATAATTTGAACTAACACCATTACAGTGCTGTTCCAATTATATCAAAAACAAGTATTATAAAACAAGAAATTACAAAAATTAAGGTTAAGCTTAAAAGAAACCTGAAGATGTTCAGGTACAGAAATGGACAGGTAAGACATCCAAAGAGCTGTAACACTGTTCCATTGCAATGCCATGCAATGATCATGCAATTATGGGTGATGTATATTAATACTTTTTGGCTCCAGATTAAAGTGATGTGCAAAGATGCCTCAGGGTTTATTTACTATTTTTCTCCTCGTGGTTTCACAGGTCAATGATCAACCAGGACAGAATTAAGGCTGAGTAGCCCCAAAGGTAATATAACTGCATTTTCTGACATTTAAATTTTCCTATTCCCATACAAGGGCTGCAGATTAAAGAGTTTACTGGAACTTCAATTAGGGTGTAGTGTGGGAGTCTTAACTATTCATTTGTTTTACAGTACCTTTAATGTGTTCTGGATAATGATTTACCAATAAAATGTCTGCAGTCCCTACTTTTTATATGAATTTTTCAAAATATTGAAGAAAGGTATTTGGCATATCAAAGGAAGCAAACTAGATTAAGTTAATCCACTACAGCTAAGACTTCAACATAATTACAGAGTTTCAGGGGTGTTGGTTGTAGCTGTGTTGGTCTAAGGACATAGGCAGACAAGGTTTTTTGGGTAAATGTGGTATCTTTTATTAGACCAACTAAATAGTTGGAAAACTAAGTAGTTTAGATTATTTAGTTAGTCTAATAAAAGATATCACATTTACCCAAAAAACCTTGTCTACATAATTACAAAGGTATTTGTGTTGTTTTCAGCATGTTTTCTAGACACTCACTCACATGTACACATACACATACCCCACTTAGGAACTCTCTAATTTAATGTGAACACAAAAACCAACATAAGTTCCATGTACTTCATCAAGCGTAACTGATGATAGAAGTGAAAAACTGCAGTTTAAAACACATAAATGTACAGAAATCATGAGTTCTTTGGTCTCTTATAGACCCTCACAAACTTAACATGTCAAATATCATACTTTTGTCCTTCACGGGTGAAGATGACCACATCCAGTGGGGGAAGGGGAGGGAAGAAGAGAGAAAAGACATGGGAAAGAAAAAGGGAAGGAGAAAAGGAGAAAGAAGGAAAAGGAGAAAAAAGGGAAAGGGAAGAGCATGAAGTGGGGTGGAGACTAGGTCGTGTGAGTACATAGGCGACTTATAAATCCGATCTTTGCTTTGAACAATCTGCTGCAGCAGAGGCAGGAGACTGTTCAAATATCAACTTATATCATTAACCATGGGCGACTTAGGTTGGGTGTTTTGAACATGTTTGATTACATTTTTTTTAAGGCTAATATGCACAAATATCATTAATTCATTTTTGAAGAAAAAAAGAAAGGCATAAGGCCTAGGGACAAACATTACACAGAAACCAGTTTAAGTGATCAGAAACTGATTTAGATCTGTTTCAGAACAGAACAGCTGTTCAGTGCTCATGAACCGGTTTGAAAATGGCTGAAACCAGTCTGAGTTAAACCTAGTTGAATGTAGTATTAGACTTAACTGATTTGGCTCAAACTGGTTTATGCAATGTTTCTCCCAGACCCTTGCTAGTTTAAGATAAATCAGACACCCCCTGCATCCCAACATGCTCTCTGGGCTGGGTGGGGCTCTCTGCTCCACAGCAGAACTGGCCCCTCCCCTCTGCTCCTTGGCTGGATCTCCAGCAGAGGCTTGTAGGCACAGCAGGGTCTGCTTGGCTTCCCCCTATCCCTACCTGCCCCCTCGCTGCTTGCTAGACAAGCAGGAATCTCCCCTCCCTCCCTCCCATCTCCCACAGCACGGACTCCAGCCCCACCGGCCCTACGCATGTGGTATGCTAGCCGATGCTGAGAAGTGTCTCTGTGTGTCTCTCTCTCCAATTTCACTGGAACAGGCTGACAGAACAGTAACCACTTAGGACTGTTTGGAGCTAATCAACAGGTCAGCTGGTAAACTGTTTAAGAAGAGTTTGAAGTAATCAAGAGAGGTTATTGTTTTGCTAATGAGCTGATAAACACTTATCAGCCCCTTTCTGGCTTGCTCTCCTGTCAGTTTGCTGCAGACTGTATAAAGAAGTGGGGAGGGAGATTTAAAAGCTCTGTATCATCAACAGATGCATGCACTGCCCACACACTCCTCCCCTTGTCTCCAAGTGCTAGCAGGGGGCTGGAGTCTAGCAACACTCCCACCCCTTGAGCAAGGAATGGGGAAAAGCCTGGAATGGTTCAGGCAGACCTCCTTAATCAGAGCATCCTGCTGGGACTTGGCCATGTGCCCCCTCAGTTCAGCACTGAGCAAGGAAGGGAGGGCTGCTCTGGTGCCCCTTGGCTTCTATCCTGAGCCACTGCAGGCATGTGCCTGCATGTCTGGCAGGTTTGTGCAGTTACAAAGTGATTTAGCCTAGCCAGGTTAGACTAACCTGCAAAGATTGAATCAATTCAGACTCAGGCTTGTTGAATGTCTGTCCCTAGCCAAGAGGTACTGATGAGCTGCTCATATAAACTGAAGGAACAACACAGGTGTTGGGGCTCAAACAGCTGTCTTTACTGATCATATACAATATACAGAGCCTAGTTATACTGTAGATCTGGCAGGGTCCTCAGTGAGCATCACCACAGGGTTCACACTGTCACAACCCAAAGAGTGTGATTTTTGTTTTTGTGTGCTTCGGCACTGCTAAATTGTTCCCGCTAAATTATAGCTTCTTTGCCCGGTGGAGTTTTCTGCTGCAAAAGAGAAACCCGGTGCAAGGGAGAGTTTCCCGCCAATTTGAAGCTTTCTTTGCAGGGTGCATTTCTTTGTTGCAGCACAGAAATGCTCGTTGCAAAGAGTTCCCACCATTTGTATGCTAATTCAAGTCCCATTATTGGCCAGTTCTAAATTATTCACACGTGGCGGCTAGTGATTGGCTTGCTAGCCGTATAAAAGGCTTGAGTGGTTTCCGCCCAAGTTGGAGGACTCCACGAACAAGGGAGGAGGAGACCCCACGGAGCCTAGCAAACTTCGTGTGAGTGAGTGAACAGAAGAACCCACGGAGCCTAGCAAACTTCGTGTGAGCTCTTACGACCGGCCTCAGAGCTCTTCTACCCGGGTTCGAGTCCTGCAGGTTTATTTTCCCGTTGCCGAAACCCATTGCGACGTACCCTCGTATTTTATATCTTCCCGTCGCCGGAACCCTTTGCGACGTACCCTTGTGCCCTGCAGGTTCGAGTTTTGTTTTCTTTTCTGTCTGTAACCGCAACTCAAGCAAGTTTTCCAGCCTGCACCACTGCCATCTCGGTGTAAGTAAACAATCTTTAAAACTACCGATACACGTTTGTGCCTAATTCCAGCTCGACGGCCTTCCCTCTCCAACCCGGCGTGCCCGGGCTGCTGGCCACAGCCCGCGTGCAGTGCGGAAAAGGGCTTGGGTCACTCCCGGCCTGCACACACACACATCAAAAATTACTACACATTATAAGTACAAAACCCATTATTTATGAATATGTGAATTTATTTATGAATGCCATTGGACTCTCGTAATATTTGCTTACATGGTTAGTATATTACTACAGGGTGAATTATTTTCAGCTTTACACAGATTAGTTGGGTCACTTGATGCTGAGACACTGAGAGATTAATAAATAACTAGGGATTAGTTATTAAACTTACTAAATAACAGTTCACATAAAACAAATAGAATTACATACCTATCTCTGAAATTAAAACACTGTTCTTTGATGTCAGGATTTGGAAGATGCATAGGGGGAAAAGCTATACTACCTGGAGATGGGGTTATAGAAAAAAAATTTGAATAAAGAGAGAACAAGAACATATATACTCTCAACAGATGTTTTTGCAATAAAAAAGTATTATTCTTACTATATTATTTTCAAAAAATCATGCCTATTTATGAGTTGAGCCTACAGCAACCTTTTTGCTATATGCAGTACTATTAATACCTGCATTTATTTAGACTGTGGACTGAACGGGCTCCCCAAAACTGACAAAAGAAATAATATCCAAAACACCAAGAACATGAAAGAATTGTGCTTGAGGAAATATTATTTCATCTATATTTACACATCCTTTTTTTCTCACATCTTCCAACTAGTTTGAAGAAAGTACTCATTGGAGTACAATAGTTTCTAGAAAGACAACTTAAAAAAATAAAGTGAACGCTAATTTCTGGAATAGTTCTAAATATTCTGCACAGACAAAGTAATCCTAACAGATCTTAGCATCCTGGCCTTCAAAGGCTCTTTCTTGGAACTACTATGTTTACCTTGTGGCTTTCATGACTGATATAATTATGTGAAAACGAGGGCTTACCGAAGAAACTCCTTGATGTTTTCTGCTTTCATTTCAGCTACAAGTTTCTGCCTCATATCTTGATAAGCATATGATGAGCTGCCTGTTTTTACAGTTGGCTTCATAAACCAGCCTGAAAAATATCATACAATCTTGGTATTTCTCAAGAACCCCGCTCTTCAGCCACTTGAGCACAAGTGACCAGTATTATGAAAGCCAATGGAACATTTTGGTGCCTGAAGCGCATGCAAAAATATTGGCTGGACTGGGTCTAAATTTGTAACAGGAACTAGAAAGCAAAACCTGTATCATTTACTGAATCATCTAGTGACAAAAGACAGTAAATCCTTCATAAAAATAGTTTTATTTAGATAGGTATTTCTCTCCCACTAAGTTTAGAAATATAACTCCAAAGGAGAATTACTAATGACTAGTTGCCAGTGAAAGGACAGTAAGATCCATCTTACTCACCATGAGAATGTACTGAACAAATTAAATGACCTGATCCCCTTTGTCAGTGACTCAACCCTGGTGTTTAAAGTCAAAAGCAAGCAGGAAAATTTTCAGGATGAGGAGCTAAGGCTCCAGGACTTCCAGGCCAGCCTCATAATATTTGGTGTTTTGGGGAAAATGAGTTTAAAAATTGAAGAGCAAAGTCCCTTGGAATGTAATCAATTAAAGAAGAAAAATGTTGGCCTTGTAGCACAATGGATAGTGCATTGGACTTCTAGGTAGCAGAAGATATTCAAAGGAGAAAAAGAAGAAAGTACTAAAGGGAAGCTACAGCTGCTAAGTTTGGCCCTGGTTTTCCTTGCATATTTGTGTGGTTTGCCTTAAAAATGAAATCCTTTCCCAACATCCCTCCCCCCAAGAGGTCATTACCACAGCACATATGACTGTACACACTGCCTTAGCTAAAGCACAGAGTAAATGAACAGAGAGAGGTTTCCTTTCCCACTTTGACTGGGGTATGCCAATGTTCCTGCTGGGACTTAAAGCCAGAGGTTCCTAGACAGACAACCTTGCCCCTCTGCCCAGGATCAGACCTACCACCGTATATGGGGTCAGGAAGGAATTGTACCCCATGGTCAGATTGGTATGGATTGTGGGGGTTTTAGCCTTCTGTAACTGGGGAGCATGGCCCTCTATCTCTTGACTGTATATTAACAACCTTTTACCAAAGCAGGACATTGGCTGTTATGGTCCCCTTGCTTTACCTGTGGCAGATTAGGGTGTTATGTCTTGTGCTGCATCAGGGTTACAAGTAGTTGAACGAAGTGTTCAGATTATGGATTTGTATAGGATGGTTTGGATAGGAATGATCTTGCCTCAGGCAGGGGATTGGACTAGAGGTCCCTTCCAACCCTACTTTATGAATTCCCTGATCTACCATTGACACTGGCATTAGATGTGTATGGTAACAGAAACATGGGCAGATCGTGGTGGGGGGAAGGGTGCAGTGGTATAGTTGTATTTCCCTTTGATTCCTGCTCTACCTAAAATTTAAAACCAACTGCTTGGGAGGGGCAGCAGTGCTGAGTTCATTGACTTCATGGCTCTTTGTCCTCTCCTTGATTCCTGTTAATCTCTCTCTACCCCACAGATGTTAATGACTCTCTATCCTTTTTAATGGATTTAATGTTCTACTATTTAAACTATCAAGTACATCCATGAAACGTGAAAGATGCCAAATTTTAGCCGATTTTGGATTTTAAACTTCACTGCAGAACAACAAGAAAGATTTTTTCCCTCCCTGCCTGCCATCTGACACCTCCCGGGAAGGAATTTTACCTGATCTACACATCAAAAAGTTACTCAGCACAGCTCACAAAGACACTCTCATGGACCCGGAGGGACAGCCTTCCATCTCCAGCTCCCTCTGTGCAAAAATGAAGTTTATTTCCTACCTGTGGGGATGTTTTACAATCTATACTTTTCCTAGAGCCTGACAAAAGGCCTTTGAGCCTGAAAGCTTGAAAAAAAAGGACAATTTTCTTGCAATTTCCCAGTTGGTCTAATAAAAGGTATCATTTTGGAACTAAGAGTTCTAGTTTTTTGTATATGTACTATTCAAACTGTGCTTTCTTTCCACAATTTTGCTGTTTGCTACCCATTTCTCCAATTGTTTTTCTTGTATTTCCCAGCCCTGCAGACTGTTTTTAGCTCTTAAGTCTTGTGTGATAATATTAACTCAGGTGCATAAAGGACTGATAGCAAGGTTTTGGATGCATTGTCAAGTCATTCAAGAATGTGGGATTTTGTTTTGTAAATCTCACAAGGTTCAGTAAGGAGAAGCTCAGTGCCCTGCACTTAGGGCAGAACAATCCCATGCACCAGTACAGGCTGGGGGCTGACTGGCTGAGCAGCAGCTCTGCAAAAAAGGACCTGGCCTGGGAGTTACAGAGGACGATAAGCTGAATATGAGCCAGCAGTGTGCCCTTGTTGCCAGGAAGGCTAACTTCATACTGGGCTGCATTTGTAAGAGCAGTGCCAGCAGATAAGAGAAGTAATTATTCCCCTAATCAGAACTAGTGAGGCCACAACTGGAGTACAGTGTCCAGTTTTGGGCCTCCCAGTATAGAAAGGATGTGGACAAATTGGAGAGAGTCCAGTGGAGGGGCAGTGAAAATGGTTTGGAGGCTGGTGCACATGACTGCTGAGGAGAGGCTGAGGAAACTGGGCTTATTTAGTCTTATTTAGTCTGGAGAAGAGAAGTTTAATCAGTTCTCAGTAGTGACAGACGACAGACCAAGGAGCAATGGTCTCAAAATGGTCTCAAGTTGCAGATAGGGAAGTTTAGGTTAGGAAAAACTTTCTTACGAGGAGGGTGGTGAAGCACTGCAACAGGTTACCCAGAGAGATGATGGCATCTCCATCCTTGGAGGCATTTAAGACCTGGCTCAACAAAACTTTGTCTGGGATGGTCTAGTTGGGGATGGTCCTGCTTTGAGCAGGGGGTTGGACTAGATCAGTGTTTCTCAACCCGTGGGTCATGACCCAAAACTGGGTCACAAGAATAGATGAAAGGGTTATGAACAAACTCTAAAAATGGATTCTCCTTTAAAGTAGAAAAACGAGGGAAACTGAGTCTTTTACCGTGCAGGCTGGCAGAGTACCAGCCTGCAAGGTGCTGCTTGGAGCCCCCCAAGCCCCACACACCCACTCCTGCCCCACATACTGGGGCCTGGGGGTGGGGGGCAGCGGGTCAGGAGCGAGGGGCACTGGGCCCAGATCAATGTTTACAAATGGGTCCGGGTACAAAAAGGTTGACCACCAAACTAGATGACCTCCTGAGGCCCCTTCCCACCCTCATTTTCTATGACTGTATGAAAAGGGGCACAGTCCCTGAAGACGGCTCCCGTGCCTTCAGTTTGGTTTTATTGAGGCTGGACAGAGATTTGGCTGGGGTGATATGATCCCGGCACCCACTCCTGCCCAGGCCAGACCTGATGATCTGTTTAGGTCCCTTCCGACCCTAAGTAGTATGACACTATTTATATACTTCTGCTCATGGGCAGAAGTCGAAAAGGGGGGTGCGGAGGTTGCAGCACAGCCTCACATCTAACGCAGCACCTGGCTTTCTCCAGCCGAAGAGAAGCTAGAAACTTTCTAGTACTGAAGCAAGGGGCTATAGCCCTATGCCATCCCCTTGAAGATCAAAGCACAACCCAACAGGAGGAGGGGAGCGGGCAGTCCTTTGCTACATTATACATAAGTTTCTGTGGTTTTGTTCTTTGCTGAAACCCACATCAAACAAAGCAAAAAAAAAAAATTAAAATAAAAAATAGTCCTCAGGGTAAAAGAGGCTGTGTCAGTAGTCTTGGAGCCATTCGCTGCGAGCTCAGGTGCCTCTGTCTCTTCTCTCCACCCCCAACCCTTTCCCTTGCCCCCGCTGCACTCTCCCCAAATTGCCCAGAACGGGGGTGGGGGCAAAACCGGACACAGGACTCCAGATACCTCCTCTCCCTGCCCCGAGCACCTGGGGCGGGGGGTGCCTCCCGCCTGCCCAGCCCCGGCCCCGGCCCGCG